TGCTTGCTTGCTTGCTTAGGCACGCTCGCCTCGGATGCGGCGGGCAAGCTGGATGTCCTTTGGCATGATAGTGACGCGCTTGGCGTGGATAGCGCAAAGGTTTGTGTCCTCAAATAGACCGACAAGGTAAGCCTCGGAGGCCTCCTGCAGAGCCATGACAGCAGAGGACTGGAAACGGAGATCAGTCTTGAAATCCTGAGCAATCTCGCGCACCAAACGTTGGAAGGGCAACTTCCTGATGAGCAGCTCAGTGCTCTTCTGGTAACGGCGGATTTCACGGAGAGCCACAGTGCCCGGCCTGTAACGGTGGGGCTTCTTGACACCTCCGGTGGCAGGCGCGGACTTACGAGCCGCCTTCGTAGCAAGCTGCTTACGAGGCGCCTTCCCACCGGTAGACTTGCGAGCTGTCTGCTTTGTACGAGCCATAGTAGTAGTAGTATTAGTACTAGTACTAGTAGTAGCGGCGACGAACAGAGGAGGAGTGTAAGTGAGTGAGTGAGTGGGCGCTTTTTGATTTCGGACTATATATACAGATTCTCCCTGTCCCGTGAGCTGAAACCCAGGCCTGTGATTGGTCAGAACGAAAACGAAGCAAGCTCCGGCCACCCACCCAATGCCCGCCCGCCCGACCATCCCGTCCTCCCGCCATTTTACAACTCACTCACTCGCTTCGTCGTGTGAGAGAGAAAACCCAAATGTTATTTATGCCATGGGAAGAAATTTTTTTTTTTTTTTTTTTTTTTTTTTCACACACCATAAGATTGTTTGATAGCCTGGTATTAGCGGGTATTAATCCCAGCGACTTGCATGCAAAGGCAGGACTGTAAGGGTCTGTGGAAGTTTCAAGGTGAGCGAGATAGTTTCTTTCCTAACCCATATCCCCCCCCACAAAAAAAAAAAAAAAAAATGCGTCAATACTTTTTTAAACACAACTTCAAAGGAGTTTTCAGTTGCTTTCATTAGATTTATATTACGACAATAGTTTAGGATTTTTTATTTATTTATTTATTTATTTTTATTTTATTTTTTTTTTCAATCAATGGTTATTTAGAGATTGGTTTAATTTTGTGTAACCCGAGAGAAAAATCTATTTTATATACTTGTCGTGGAGTCCTTTGCAGTAAATCTCATAGTTCTCGAGCTATATTATAAAGTGAATTCATTTATAAAAGCCTCAAAAGAAAGATTGTTTCGTAGCCTATCCCTATTTGTTCGTAGTCATTGTAGTACGTATGTATACCTTATAGTTTTCGAGCTATAATGAGAAATTCGGTTCTGTGTTAGAAACAAATCTTTGAACAGGAAACAAAAAATTATATATAT